ATAGAGGATTTACGGTATATAATATCCAACACCAATGGTCGAAAAAACGTTTTCGAAGACTGAAGACTGGGGCGAGTTTTACGAAAATCGCACTTCTTTTCYGACTTGTAAAAGAGAAAAAAGTTAAATTTAGTCTTGAATAGAAAATTTACTTAGAATACGAAAGAAGAAATGGCTAAAATGTGTAAGTTCTATGCTTTTACTCCTATGCACRGAAAAATGCGCAGTGCAAAACAAGGGAATTACCTTAGCCAGGAATGCCTCAAATTTAGGCTACGTCAAGTCATGCCCGGAAATATCATATAACAAATTAAGTATAGAATACAATATATCGTTCAAAACCCTTATAACGAAAGTAATATTATCACAAAACTAACCTGCCATCAAACGTGTTGGTCTTCGACACCGTTGTTCCTCTAGTAGTCTTAAGTGATCCTCATCCATGCACATTCTGTCCAGATTTCTGGAAATACCGGAAGCCAAATTAGTCACGGAGGTCAGAGCACCAGCTGAAACGTGCCGTACTAAAGAAGATACTCCTTGAGACATCCCTGAAACAAATGCACCAGGACCCCGAGTCAAACCATCATAAGGTAAAAAGAAGAAATCAGAAAGTCCTTGGCTGAAATTACGGATCAATCCAGCAGGGTTGCCAAGTAGTTCCAGTGATCCTACCACCCATCCTATCTTGAACATGACAGACGACATGTAATGAAAAAGAACTTTCTGAGCAAATGCCGAGGTTGGTGCGTAAACGGGAGACATATGGAAATGACCAAGGCTTAATGATGTGTCATCCATTCCTATGAAGAGTTTAACGGACGCGTGAAGAGTAAGATGGATAGTTACTGGCTCAATGTCAAACTTTCCTATAACAAGAGGGTTGAGAATTGAGGAACATTCGTTAAGAAGTAAGGTTGTTTCAAGGAAGGAACTATCAGCCAAGAGGTCATATTCCTGTGCTGGAGGAAGGAATGACTCTGCTAACAGGGCCATTCGATAGATAAGGGTGTCTTCTAAAAACACAGTKATTGGCTCACAAGACACCAAAACCGAATGGAGAAATGTTTTTTCCATGTTAGGTTCATACTTGATCTTTATAGACAAGAAGGGCTTCAGGCACGTCCCAACACGAGGTTTTCTTTGACTAGAAGCGTTGCTGAGTTTTGGAAAACTTTCATTCGCCAAGATTACGACAGGAAACTGAAACAATTCTCCCTCAAGCTGATTGTCAAGTTGAAAAGAGTTCAACGTTAGACTTAGTTCAGAAAAAACTGAATTTCCATCCGAATGCTCTATCAAAGGCGAGTTGCACAAATTAATCCCTAGTATTGCTGTACGCAAAACCTCTGAAGGTTTTCTTTGATTGCGAGCATCTATAAGAGAAATTTCTAGCTTGGAAATTTTCATTGCAACATCAAAAGACGGAGACAAAACTTCATTTGAAGGTAACTCCATAGCGACAGCGTCCTTATCATAAATCTGAATGCGAACAGCAGTACAAAGCCTGGACTTGGAGACAAATACGATAACTCTTCCCCTTCCTGGTAAGTTTACAACGAAGTGTCCTTTAGAGTTAATGTCAAATCCATGACTCCAACCCTGCGGGACCTCTGTTGTCTGCCCATGACTAATTCTGCCCTCAGCACCTTCAGAGATTTCGGCAACAGTTACATCATACAGTGCCTGAATGTGAATATTCGGAATTTCCTGAAATTCACTGGATGTCTTGAACCATTCTCTCATGATTGTAAGCTCGTAATGAGTCATTCCTAAGGCTGGTATCTTGGGAACTTCATAAAACGGCTCTAACTGTTCTACAACAATGACCTTATCGAGTGAACCTTTTTGATATGATGGGCTTTGAGGTGGTGTAGCCTGACCAAACTGGAGCGTGAATGGGCAATCATTATAAAAGATAAGGCGAGGGGAGGAATCATTTGCCACTACAATGTTTGTAATACCAGATACGATATTGGGTGTCATCACTAGTGGAATAGTCGTTCTACTATCACGTACTGGGATAGCTATTGCAGATCGGGGAAGATCAGAGTTCATTAAGAAAACTTGTGACCACTGACTTGATAACGATTCTGTGTGAAGTTTTATTGAGTTGTCATCTTGATTTTCTATATTACTTTGGAATTTCTGCTCTCCAAGTGCAAAGAATGCAACAGGAAATGTATCATCAACTGAGGCAACTTCCTCCTTGTCTATTACGACAGATGACGTCAAAGCGATGTCCCAATACGCAACTGGAAGCTTGATTTTGCTATCTATAGGTAGTTGAATGGCTCTCTCAATGTCCAAAACGTCACTTGGAATCTACATTTAAAAAGCATCATTAGAAGGCGCTTTCACCATTTTGCCTTTATTATCTTCACTTTCGTATACCATAATACTTTGCAACTTTGAGGGATAACCAATCAAATAACTGTCCCAAAATAAAAAGATCTTCAATTGTATACCCACTAAACCTGCTTTTACCTGTAATAATAATATAGATGCAAAGATTTCTCACTTCTGATTGGTAGAGAGCAGTGCTGTTGGGCCAATTTTGCAGCTGTTCAAGGTCACTTGACGCGAAAGTTGAAGCGAGAGACGTTGAAACTTCAAGAGCTTTCGCCTACTTTATCCGTAAAGAGGTACATAATACTTCTGTACGAAGAAAGCAGCTTATTCAACTTTCCTTTGAGTGTTTAATAATTGAAAAAAGAGGATATTTGATGATTTATGTAAGTTTTGCAGAATTTCTTCGCAATGATGCTTACTTGTTTTCTCAAAAAATGTCAAATATTTGAAGTCTTGAAGATGAAAAAAATTATTTCTAAAAAAACATGTTTTTACTTTTTAAAGATCAAAAGTAATCTTTGTTATTACATTTCTTTCCTGTTTTGTAAATAAAATATTGTTTTGTTAACCGATTTTTGATAAAAACAAACGAGTTCTTCGCTTCGTGCATTTTTTCCAACACGTCTTTTTTCTATCTAATTTTGGTTCGAAATTTTTGCATCTATATTATTAACAARAAATCGAATGGTATTCTCGTAAGGGCGAGTGCTATTTGAGCTTTTTGAAAACCCGTGAATGCAAATTTATTCCAAAGTGCACTCGAAACCATGCGATTTCCTATACAAATGTTGATTTCGCGCGTTCAGAACATTTTGGTGTTACAGTAAATGTATTGGATTACGAAGAAATTTTAAGCATTGACTTTAAGGTTACTGGAGACCTTCAGGGGTATGTTTCTCTTAAACTCTCTCTACGCAACACCTTCAACAAAACCCCCTAATACTATATACCGTTTTAAAGGTCATATGATAAAGATTTCGAAAATATTATTACTTCAAAGTGATTTTCTAATTTGARACAATGGCGAGCCTTAAATATAAATCGAGCACGTTCCGTAGAGGTTAATTAAGGTATCAGGGTACCCCTAGCGACCATTGTGCATTCAACTCTTTAAGAGAGCTTGACTGTAAGATTCAAGAAATTTCCGTATTTTACGGCGGATGGCAAAATATTTTTTTCTGCTATTTTCCTCAAACATTACCAGTGAATTGAGCCTTATGTGGTAAAACATATTCTGTATTTTCAAGTTGTAAAAGCTGTTATTTTAGAAGAAACAAAGATTTGAATTTCCTCATAATCAAGTACTCGATTTATTGCGCTAATAGACTTGATTACTGAATAGCAGTGTTAAAAGAAGCCAGCGCAAAATTTTTATGTCGCAAAATATCAAATATGTTTTGATAAACAGTTAGTTATGGGCTTGTAATTTGTTTAGGTTTCTTTATAGCTGGTTTTAATGGGGGGAAAAATGATATATATATATATTTTTTATTATTTTTTTTCCATGCTTGTTCAATAAGTGTGTGCCAGCCGGTGATACCAAAAACTGCTTCAGAAGAATACAAAATTTTGTGATGGTTCAACCAACATTTTAAGTAATATTAACGGTTAATTTGAAGATAATGAACCAATTTAATGGAAACCATATAAATAACCTTGGGATTTTGGGTATAAGTATTTTTTTTCTGGAGTGGTAAGACAACAGATTATACTATTCTTCATCGTAACCTCGAAGTTACCAACAGTAAAATAACAATTGAAAGGTAAAAAAATAATAATCTAACTTTCTTTTCTTWAATATACGAAGTTCAAGTAAATAAAGTTTATTACGCTGTTTTTGATCGCGAAGATTTAACTGTACATAAATATCAGTTCTCATTTACTCTACTTCATAGCTTCAGGTAATTTCCTTTTCGAGTATGACATTTTCTAAATACACAATCATTAGTGAAAAGTCTGGCTTTATTGTTGCGTGGTCTATTTGACTGTGCGCTTTGGAATCCTTCGTCCACTGCCGATTTGTTATTTTGTGTGTAGAAATTTCCCAATTAACTGTTCCTTTCATACCCTTGTTGGTTCAGAATGCGGCACTTCTTCATCGAATGTGAGCAAAACTCAGACAATAGTATCTTTATCACAGTGCCAAAGAGTTGTAAGTAAGCTTTGCTTACCGTAAGTGTTCATGATATTAGCACTGAATTCGATCTTATACTCGCAAGAGCTGGTATATATGAGTATGATGATGAACCTCTCAAGACAACAACAGTTTGTCCTAAGCATCGTTTTCAGCTTGGTGGAGGTTGGTTTCAGAAGAAAGTGTGTCGCTACCCCGAACACAAAGGCAAGGCCAAGGCCGATCGTACATCAAGCAAAGTTCAATCCAGAACAATATATCAGCAACTGGGACTGTTAGTACCCGTTGGTGCAGGTGAGTCTTATTTCGTAACGTTTATTTACACATTTGAACTAATTTACAGTAGGGATCTTGGCATAATACATTTGTTTATGCTGACCATGCTAATTCACGCAAGAAGAGGGGGACGGGGTACTTTTGAGAATGTCTAGCCGTGAATGCAATTCATTTTGTTTTTGTTAACTGCCTCTGGGATCTACTTTGCACGATATTTCACTAGCCATTAACCCCCTACCCCATTCCCAGTTATTCTCTGTATTTTGTAGTATATACCTGTCTGAYGAAGTGAGGGTTACATAAATCAGGGCTTTTAATAACGGCCGGACATGGGACAATGTCCAGCCAGAACCGGGAGCCAAGACTGGAACTTGTTTGGTCAAAGCTTTGCCTGGCCACCCATGATCATTTTGACCAGTAATGTTGAGCCAGAAATGAGGTAAACCTAAGTTAAAATAATTGCATGTGGACTATGTTCATGACCGGAGACTGATCGGTAGTTATTTTAAATTATTTAAAGATCTCCGGGAYTTTTTTGTAGGGAAAAGGAGGACGTTTTCGTACCTGCCAACCCCCCTCCCCCCCCCCCTCCCCAAAGCTTAGTTGATACTCGTTATGACCTTGTATCGAAAAATATTTATTTTTGATGGCAGGTATTTGTACAAACTGCCGCAAAAAACTTTATTCCCATGACGGAGATGCCGAAAAAGAGCTCGATCTGCGAAGGTGTTCCAGGATAGCTCAGCACACTCCAGTCAACTATGCTGAATGCAGTTTACTTTCACCGTCGAGAATTTCAACCCCGTTTGATTTAGAAAGCTCACTCATGGAATCTCCTGGTTATCAACCACAAGCACATCGCCAGCCACTCAAAAAAGAAGAAAACATTCCTGTTCAAAAGTTGAATGATTTTTTGATTAGCCGAGATTTGAGTCCAGTACGACATTSTGTTAAGAATCCTTGGTCTGAAGCTGCCGACCGCACTAAACGGAAACACTTAAGAAAGATGAAACTAGGTATTGCTGCAGTGATAGAAACAACAGCACCTGGTTACGAAGATGAAGCGTGGTTAGATCTATCTCGTTCGGGAGTCCTTGACGATCATTTCAATGCTGAAGGAACCATAGTTGTCTCTTCAAGCCCTAGCTGCTGTTTATCGCGCATCGGAGACAAAAGCAACAGAAGTTCCAGTTTTGTCGATTATTGTTGATACCTTTCCCCATCAACAAATACAAAGCATCTTGCCAGAGGTTACACAATATCAACTTGGTCAAGCCAAACGGCACTTGTTATCTCTAGGAAGAGGCCAGCCCTTTGCAGACCGTTCCTAAATATCGTGTAGGATTAACGATGCCCAAAATAGAACATTTTGTTGAATTTATTTCAAGTCCGCATTTCGTTCAAGATGTCGTTTACGGCACTCGAACTGTGAGGCTGTCTTCTGGCGAGACTATTAGTATGCCTAATGTTGTTCGCAATATGATTTCATCCAGAATCATAAAGCAGTACATTGCTTTCTGCAAAGAGACGAGGTTTGATCACTTAAGCGAAAGGGAGCTTTACAGAGTTTTGAGGCATTGCCCTGCTCAGCAGAAAAAGGCACTACAGGGCCTTGATAACACTAGCGCAGATTGTCTCCGTGGCATCGACATGCTAGAGAACATCTTAAAAAAGCTGGGTGAAAGGGGTAAGGATTCAGTACGGGTTAGTGACGTTTGCAGCTCSTTGTCTACTCTCAAGAGGTATCTTAAAGGAAGTTACCGTTTGAACATCTCATCTTAATCGTGATGTCCTGACCACTGCAGTGCCTTCGCCTTGAGTGACCCGAGAGAAGAAGCTTTTTCTAAGACTTGTGACGACAACGTTCATGATTTGGTACGTGATGATTGTGAACGTCTTGGTCATCTGCAAGAGCTAATTAATGGTTCTTTTCATTCTGATCCTACTGTTACATTCTATAGTTCTGATGAAAAAGACGATTTGCTTCATGATGTACAGGTATCATTTGAAGCAATCTGGGCATGGAAACGTCATCTTCTAAGAGCAGTACATCAGAGCAAAGCGCGACAAGATACCTTAGACAAAATGGTTCCTAGCACAATATTTATYACCCAAGATTTTGCAATGAAGTTCTTGCCTCGCCGTTTTAAGGACACCCAAATGGAATGGTTCGGTAAACGTGGCATAAGTTGGCACATTTCCTACTGTGTACGCCGTACCGATACCGGTGAATATGAAATATCAGTGTATTCTCACTTGTTTCGTGAAAAGATTAGCCAAACCAGTGAGGTTATTGCGGCAATCATGCACCATACTCTTAAAGAGGAAAAAGCACGACATCCAGAGCTTAGAGAAGCCTACTATCGTAGCGATTGTGCAGGGTCGTATGCAACTGGTGGCTTACTCCTTCCAATAAGACATCTAAAACAGTTAACGGGTATTGCTGTTAGGCGCTACGACATTTCCGAGCCAGCGATAGGAGCGCTGCCCATCATGCAGAAAGCCCACGTTAATAGATTTCTCAACGAAGGAAATGATATCACATCAGCAGGACATATCAAGAAAGCCTTAGAGTCACATGGTGGCATTAAAAAACGTTATGCCCTTTGTTGTAGAATTGCCAGCGGTTTCAAGAACTACTTTACCTCGTATTGCAGGAATCAGTCTTCTTCACAATTTTAAGTACAGCGACGAAGGTTTAACAGTATGGAAAGCATACGGCGTCGGCGAGGGCAAATTGTTGACATGGGAGAGCTTTGATAAGGATGGACAGATACTACCTCTAGGTCTTAGAATCGTTGAATGTTGTGCCGCTCCAGATATTTCACATCTAAGGCCAAAACAGGTAAAAACAGTAAAACATGTAAGGAAGCAGAAGATGAAGAAGAAGAAGTAGAGAGCGAATCTGGTCTTTTCAATTGTCCTGAACCAGGATGTGTAAAACAATATATTACCATGGGTAAACTTGAAAACCACGTGGCAGCAGGCAAGCATGTCTTCAAGAAATATTCTAAGCCTCTTGGTGACCAAGAGATGAGGAAGTGGGTAAAACAGTTTGAGAACGTTTCATCAGACAATCTACCTTCAAATCTTGAAGACAGGTTATGGTCACTTCAAATCGAAGACGGTTCCACAAGAACGTCAGACAAGACTGTTAAAAAAGGATGGGCGTTGAAGAACACAAAACCAGCTGTACGTTTTCCAGATAAAGTGAGAAAGTATTCGTTAGAGAAATTTGACATTGGAAGTAAGACAAGACGCAAAAATGATCCAATGCAAGTTGCAATGGATATGAGATGTGCAAGAGATGAACAGGGTAAACGATTTTTTATAGCCAGTGACTGTCTACAGACGCCACAGATTCGCTCAGTTTTTCCCAGGGTTGCAGCACCGAAAAGGCGTGGCAACGTTGAAAACCCAGATGATGTAGAAGATGAAGACGTAAGAGACTTACAGGATGATTTTGAAGCAGAAAACTATGAAGAGGAAATGAATCAGGCTCGCCAGCGCATACGAGAAGAGGTATGCGAAAGACATCCTATATATTTTGACAGATATAACTTGTGTGAGTTAAACCAACAAGAAAAAATGAAAAGATTCAACATAGATATGCTCATAAAGATTTGTGAGCACTATGACCTAAATATTGAGAAGGTTTCAAGAAAAAGAAAAGAAGGGCTGATCATCAAAATAAAAGAGTTTCTCGGTAGCTGCAGCTGCAGTCTTTAGCTCAGTAGAAGGAAACAAAATGACCAACAGGCCAGTTTGGGGAATTCAGTATTGGATTGGCATGTTGATTAATTTTGGCATTCAAAAAAAAAAAGCATGTTCCGATCGACAGTTAGACAAGCGACTGTGGGTTTATAAACGATGTAGCATGTAGTTGTCTAGAAATAAACGGATTTCCATGTAATAATCTATTCAACTCCTTCACATAGATTTGAGCGCGTTAAAATGGTTTTGGGAGACAAAATTCCCTTGTAATAGAATAACTTTACTTGAAAATGGATTTAAAATTCTGATTTGCTTAAGACACTACTAAAGACAAATTTATTTGTGCATATAAGCCTTTGTTGATCTAAAAGTACATTGTATATTGCTGAAATTAGACACGTGGGACAGATGGCAATCAAGTTGATGCACAAATACAGCTATTTTATCAATAAAGGTTGGTGAAAATGCTGTTGCATTCCGTGCATAATGTCTGATGTGAATAAAATCAGCGAAAGGTCACAAGGATGTGGAATTTTACCAAACTTTGTCTGCATGTTATTGCGGTAAATTTTCTTCCTAAATTTTCACATACAATAATACATTTCGGGCTTGGTATGCAACATGCAACAAAACCTTCACCAACCAATTTTGAAATGGCTGTATGCCTTTTAGAAGGACCCTATAGAAACATTTTAAACATTAAGCAAACAAATCCTATCAAAACAAAATAAAAATTGCACAAACAGTGGTAGGTTTATCACGGTGTGGACAAATCCAACTGATCCACAGTGTAAGTAGTTGAGGTGAGGGCGCTGTTAATCCTCTCTAATTTTTGTGATTTACCCTAGGTCACTTCCAAATGAAAAAACGTTTTACTAGTCGGTCTAGTCAAGATAATATGTTTTAGTTCAGTCATAGCAATAAGGTTCATCTAGTTATTCGATTGAAATATACTTATACTCTACCCCAGGCCCTTTCTCGCCATCGTTAATACGTTGACGCACCTTCTATGTTATGCATATAATAAATAACGTAAAATGTTCTGATGCTTGTCGTCAACTTATTTTCTTGAACATGTTTCGACTTTAGCACTAATTATGAACGGTTGGTCATATAAAACAGTGGAACCAGCACCGATTTTTTTTAAATAAAGCATTATTTGCTTGAGGTCAATAAGGCAATATTTGCTTTACATATTTTGGCAGTGAATATAAAAACCCCAAGAATTTCTTGTAGTGGTGATCTGTGGGAAGGTCTCATCTATTAGGCTGGTAGTTTTCAGCCAAAAATACTGGTTGGACCCGGTTGAATCTTTTGATCAAAGAAAGAGTATTTATCAATTCTTAACTTCTAGATATTTGGGAACATGAATGTCAATGCTGTTTTACGCGGAAGCCACAATATTTTTTGGATGATTTACTTCTCTATGTCATGTTTATACATTAAAATAATCGCTTAAAAAAWTCATTTCCAAGAAATAAACCTAAACGCACAAAAAAGCGATATTTTTTTACCYTTGAAACAAATAAATAATTATGCTAATTGTCCTTATTAATATTCAACAAACTTCAAACCCATCCTTAACATAGCAATATGCATTTTCCTTTAAGCCAACCATATCATTGTAGTCTAATTAGGATCTTCTAATCAGCATACAAGTTTCAAGTCATTTAGAAAAGTTTTATTTTCTACCATCCGCCGACTATTTATCGAATCTTGCAGTCAAGTCCTTAAGGTGACTGCCTACTTTTGGAAATCGATTTAAGCTTTTTTTAAAACTTCGATTTTCCGAATTGAAATTTAATGCTGATTCCAAATCTGGAAAGAAAAATAGGGTGTCCCGAGCTTGTTTTTGAGATAATCAGCATTTAATGGAAGCCTACGCACGAGCTTTTGGAGTAAAAATTGCGCCACCGGAAGTGATAAGAAAAAAATTAAGATTCATAAGATAATAGTTATTTGCAGACTATATGATTGCACGAACGAAGGCTAGTCAATCCTTCTACAATAATATATGGAAATTTTCGACAAAAAGAAAGAGAGATACATTGATTTGTCATATTTTGTAGTTTCGGTGCTCTTAAAAAATCTCATAAAGTCGAACAAAAATCCCTACAAAAATCTATTTTTTCACGTGTTCCTGATTTAAACTTTTYCTAAAATGTTGATATAACCTAGATTTCTAGGAGTTTTTTCGAATGAGCTATCAAAAAATATAGAGTCCCGTGCAAAATTTGAGGGTTTTGCCCTGTTGAAGCTCAAAACGCGTATGGTTCTTCAATAAAATCTTGTAGATTTTTCAGCGGTTTTTGAGCGCGCGCACATCGTGGGCTCAAATCGAACGTTCAAAAGTAGGCAGCCACCTTAATAGCGGCAAAACCGTTTAATCAAAACCTCAACAAAGTATACATTTTCTGAAAGCTGAATAAATGTAGAAACTATTCATTTTTTCCTTTTTGTGAAATACATTTATCCTTTTAAATTAGAGCGAATTATTCAAATTTTCAGCGTGGCATATCCGCGGAGTTCGATGACAGCCGGTAATCGATGACAAAARGGTGTGAGCGATTTCTGATATTTTGAGTATTTCTATTTTTATGCGGTAAAACACTAACCGGCATTGGATTTTTTTCGATGTTTCGACTTTATAATTCAATAACTTTTTAAAGAAGCAAAATTTCAAAAATCGCTCACACCTTTTTGTAGTTTATCTTTTGCTAATTCACATAATGAAATTCTTTTGGCTATRCGCGCTAAATCTATGCCCATTAATTGACCTCTACTGAACGTGCTCGATTTGTGTTTAAGGTTCAGTCATCGTTTCATATTAAAAAATCGCTATCAAATAATATTATTTTCTAAATCGTTATTAAATGACCTTTGAAACGATATATAGTTTTATGGGGTTTTGTTTAAAGTGTTGCAAAAAGAGTTTCGACAAAACATACCCCTAAAGGTCCCCAGTAGCCTTAAAAAAATGGTAGCTACAAGTGGTACTAAAAAGATATTTACGCCAACCTTTTTTACTTTGGCCGCCAGTACAGGTAATACGAGAAGAGGCTTCCCAGTAGAATTGACGAAACCAAACTTTTCTTGAACAGAAATAACTCGAACGCCATGACGAGTTTGGGATGTCATTGTCCATACGACTGCCACTGGGCGAGAAGAGGTAGAAATATGAGCGATATTGATTGTCGCGTGATTTGACTCATCTGGTGTATTTGGCTCCTTAGCTGACAAATCCTTCATCTCGTCGTTTGAAATAGGCAATGACAAGGGTTTCGACCAACTTATCGTTGAAGATCCTGTCACTAAAATACCGAACTGTATTTTGCCCTGTACAGAAGCATAAATGATTATTACAAATTTTAAGCAATAATACAGAGGCCAATCTGGGAATCTGAGAACTGGGGGGGATCGGCTTAGTGGACAAATCCCTAACTGTTGACTAAGCAAAATGTAACCAGCAGAGGTCTGGGGCATGCTCCCAAATTCTTCAATTATGGTCTGAAGAAATGTTGTTTCCTGCGTTTTGGGRACCCGGACCGTAAACTAAAAGCGTTGTCCGCAGCCCTTTAGCCCTCCATTGCCTTTAAATCCGTCCATGTAAGTAAAAATAGAAACAAGAAACTTGTCATAGAGACGAACTTAACCACAGGAAAAAAGCTTTAGGGAATCTAATCCTCCTCTATGAGTTTTTACACAGCTGGGGTTCCTTTTTTATCAATAAATGTTTTGTCATATTTTATAAGTAAATTTCTTWTCGTATTTCTATAGTTTTGATCTCAGTAATTCACATCTGCATGTTGCAAATTTCCTTGCTGACCTTAAATTTAAATGGGGCAATAGTTTGACCTGAAGGCATCTGGATTTCTCCTTTGTCCTCAAAGTCTTTGATAAAGATTGTAGACACTGTTTTGTTGATTAAAAGACACCAAGGAGTAACGTCTACCAACAGAGTATTTAGATGGTGCCATTTCTTGATCACACGGCATTGAAGCTCAACATCCGGAAATGGACTCACTATTTGAAAATAAAATAGGCTTCAGGATTCAAAACAATATTAAAAACTTCATGTAAATGATATCGAATAATGCGAAAAAAAAAA